AACAATTTCCAACTGCGGATAAAACTTAAACTCCTGATGATCATGCCTGTCAATACTGCTCATAGCAACATAATCAGGGAACATTTAAGAACGTTTTGTAAGAGTTTCTGCTATGGATAAATTTTACTGTTCTAAAAATACATTCTTTTTTTTTTGAATAACCGCGGGTCTCCCAAAGGCTTCCTAGGCCCAAGGACTAATCCCACGAGGCTGGCAATTCCCCTATGTAAACCTGCCAGTGGCCGTGCCTCGAACCCTGGTGGCGGAAGTCACAGCTGTGACCCCTTTACCACTAGGCCACAAGGCCCGGTTCTAAAAATACATTCACAAATCATATAAGAGAAAAAATATCAGTCTCTGTTTGATATTAAATCTGTTTGTCCCTGTGCATAAGCCTAAAGCTCATATGGTTCCCCAAAAGTCTGGATTTCAAACCTAAAGCCATGATCAGTGTTTTCCAACGCAAACTTCTTAATTTAGAAGTCATAAGAAGGTGGTACACACATGACACATGTGACTCATTGTGGAAACTCATGAGAATGACAGATAACAAAAGTAGTAAAAAGATGCAAAAAAAGAAAGTGAAATGTGTAGTTGACTGTGTCACCGAAATCCAAAGAAAACGACAAAAGATCTCGAAAAGCTAAATTTCTATATCCTTAAGCCTATTCATTTGACAATCAAGCCGACGTGTTTGTCGAGTACTCGGCGATCGACACCGGAACCATCCCAATTTTCCGGGAAATCAATAAAAGAAAACAGATCATTTCAACGACGAACAAATCGATCATGAAGTCAACTAAACAGAGTAATGTAAGATCGGAGAGATTACACTCAGAAAATCACCAAATCAGTATTATCAGCTCAATCAAATCCATTTGAGAACTCATAACAACTAATCACAGAACAATTCTCAACGATCGTGTATGAGCAACAAAGAATCGGATCGATGAAACTACCTTCGTATTGATCGAGATAAATGTCCTGGATATGGAAATGGTAGGTTTGGAGAGACGTCTCGGAGGATCCGACGCGTTTGTAGATATCAGACAAGAAGATCCGAGCCTTAGATCGAGTATTCGGATCCTCAAGCCGTTCCAAGACCGATCGCAAGGCGCCATAAGCTGCGTCGCCGGATTGTTTGCACTGGTTCAGGAAGTCGTCGATAGAGAGGTCCGCCATTATCGTCAACAAGTGATTGTAGTAGTAGAGAAGAAAAGCGAAAGTGTGAGTCTGGGTTTTGTGACTCTCACCAGCAAGGAATCAAATTATATGGTATTTGTGGCATAGGACTTTTGACTAAAAACTATTTTATTACTTTTATTCTAGCTTTTTGTCCCTTTTTTTTTTTTTCTTAACATCTTAAAACTAATTAAGAATTGTCCTTTATGGCTTTTGATATTAAGGGGCAAAAAATAATAAATAGAAATTCATTTATCAAATTAGTGGGTGGAATTAGAAAAAGTGTTTAGCTAAGAATCAGGATTTGATGAAAAGAAAAAGCTATAATGTAGCCGAACTTAGGCAAAAAGGGGAATACTTATTGTTTGTTAGTGTTACTAAATTAGATACCATCAGAAAGCAAGTTATCTCAAAAGAACTCTAATTCTAAAAACACTATTTTATATCAAAGACATAGCCCTGAAACTACGGTTTTTCGGTTCGGTTCGGTTAGTTTGGTTAATTTTGATTTTAAATATATTGTCAAAATTAACTTTGGTTCAGTTCTAGGTTAATTACGATTTCAAAACCAAAATTAACCGATTATTTAAAATAAAATCTAGTTTTTTGTTATTGTTGGATAATTTCAGTTTTTCTGGTTAAATTTGAATAATTCGGTTCGGTTATGTTCGATGGAAACTGGTTTAAATTTGGTAAAACCGGCCTAATTGTGGTATAATCCGATTATTAAAAAAACAAATACTTCGGTTAACTGAGAACCGAACCAAAGTAAATTTCATTGTGCCGACCAGTTAAGGACCTATAACCAAAACCAAACCGAACAGCCAAAATCTCGGTTCGGTTCGGTTCGGTTCGTTTATTTGTCCCGGGGCTAGCCAAAATCTCGGTTCGGTTCGGTTCGGTTCGGTTATTTGTCCCGGAGCTAGCCAAAATCTCGGTTCGGTTCGGTTATTGGTTTTATTGTTTGATTTGTAGATGCATCCTGGAAATCTTCAGATCAAAATGTTGGCGTCGGTTCGTCGCTTCATAAGAGGAGGGGAACACGTCTTTTTAGAGCATATGATGCAAGTGGAACCAATTCACTCACCATTGAAAGCTAAAGCTTTAATCTTAAGAATGGTAGTGCGCCAACTTCAGAGCCTAGGGTATACTCAAGTAACATTATGTTGGGACTCTAAAACCTAATTTTATATATGAAATGATACAAAGAGGAAAAGCAGTGACTACAAAAGAAGAATGTTGACATCATTACCTTTCAACATATGTAAGTGACATCTTTTAGATGTAGTTATTGCATGATTTTTATTTCATCTATCATCACTAGAAGTGTAAACTTACTCAATAGCATGCATATGCCTTAGCAAAAAGAGCTTATACTCAATGTAGTACATATGTAATATCTTGGAACAAAATTTGTAAGAACTTATTTAATGAATTTACCTTCTTTGACGACAAAAAAAAAGAAAAGAACATTGTAAGTTTATAACTTCAAACGTAAAGAAAAAAGACGCATTTTCTTTCTCTATAAAACAACCAAAAAAAAAATTTAAGAAAACAAAAATTGGAACATTTTGTAATATAATTCGAAGGCTAATGATTTGGATTGGCCGGGGATGAGGCACATAAACAAAAATGGGGTATTCTTTGGATGACTTTTTATTTAAAATGAGATACAGTATAATATTCCATGATATCATCATTGTTAATTCTCTCTCTCTCTCTCGCTAAATATATAATAGTACAAATAATAATAAACTAGATGGTGTTGGCCGGTGGGGAATCATGATTCATGAGTGATTCATACTATATACCGACTTGTTTTGAGACATATTAATATGAAAATCAATCAATAACTTCTTAAAATAATGAGAAAACGGTATGGTTGTGTTTGTGTATCCTCTATAATCGAATTTGCAGCAAGCACGTGAAAACCAGCAGAGACAGTCCAAATCTAGACCCGAGGAAACAAATATAACTGATTCCGATAATGTCTTTTGGATTTTCTAGAGTTCAGTATATGATTTTTTTAAGTTATTTCATATAGCTTGCATATTAATAATTATACGTTCGTAACTTAGCTATTAAATCTAAAAATAAAAATAGGTTACTATGTTTAGGTAATATTAAACTTGGCGGGTAATGTGGTTGCGAAATCTAACTAAATGGAGTTAAACAAGTAAAAGGCAATCAAAGAACATAACATTTACATAATTTCAAATGCGATAACAGCGAATAGAAGAAGGTATAAAAATCTACATATACCTATCAAACTTATTTGTAAATTGAAATAATAATAATTTTCCAATCCCACAAAATTAAATAACTAATAAAATACTTATTAATTAATATATTTTCTTATCACAAGAAAATTGAATCAATTCTCATAATACTAGGCATCAAGGTTTCTTAATTGCTTCCCCAAATATGTGAGATACAGTTGAAAAACAAATGTGACACCATCCTATACATTTGAGCCTTAAGATAAAAGGAAAAAAAAATCTTTAATCAAAAACCTCAAAGTCAACTTAAAAATTTCCTATGATACACTGCCCAAATTGAGCTCTATCGACACATGTGATGTTGGTATCTTGGTGATTACATATATAGATCATGGATGTGATCTTTTTTGATAACCCAGTGTCCAGACCACACAGTGATCCGACTAGCCCACTGGGCCTAAGCCCGCGTGCCTGGGATTTTTAAGCCTCCACTTAAGGGCCCCCCGGAACTGGTGGTCTGGGACGCTGCGCCCCGCAGGTAAATTGCGCAGTGGCCGGGACTCGAAGCCGGGTGGCGGGTGCCTCAGCCGAGGGTCCTTTACCACCAGGAGACAAGCCCCGGTTCATGGATGTGATCTTGCTATATAATTTGGAGAAAATAAAGTAGTTGATTTTATATACCGCATATATTTTGGAGATAGACAGAAGTTGTTAATTGAATAGATACGTTTTAAATAAATATATCATAAAAATTAGTTACAAAACAAAAAATTTACGGTTGTGCAAGTGCATATAGTATTGTTGCAAAAAATGCATATATATCCAACAAATTTTATGAAAGGAAATAAATGTTTTATAGACGGTTATGTATAACAAAAATATTAATATCTAGCTAGTAACAATATTGAACTTGTTTTAGTCAAAATTCATGCTTTTCACGAAACATGAAAAATTATATAAATAAAATCAAATTTACACAGAACTATTCACGAACAATTTTCACTCAACACATAAATACATGAGAAATTTTACAGAACTAATTTTTGTTTTTGTTTTTTTTTAATAATATATATGGATATTTTGGCATAATTGTAGGTCGATGATATAAAGGAGTCTTAAAGTTGTTTACCAACGAAAAAGGAGTCTTAAAGTGACAAAGTTATTTAAAAAAAAGACTCATAAATCAATGTGTAGTACTTATAAACATTATCATTCACCGAGTAGCACTTGGTCCAGTAACGTATGATCCTTCCAAATGAATGAAAAGTCGTGTTTCCTTGAAATGCTAGTTCCGGTCCAAAGGAATGTATATCCCTAGCCCCTAGGATCCGAAATTTCTTAGATAATCAGAAAAATGAAAATAACATTCGTAAATAAACCCAACTTGAAAAACACACACATTTACTAATATGTAGATATAATTGTAATTTTCAAGAATGATTTGGGTAAGAGGAAGATGTATAATGATTTCAGTTCCCACTAGTCATTGCATGTGCTCTCTCCCTCTCCTTGTCCCACTTACCCACTATTCTGCTTTCAACTCTGTCTCTTTCTCTCTCTCTCTCCCATTCTCTCTTTCTTAACCAAATCCATGACTTAAAATGCAGAGCAACCACAACATAAGTCTTCATACCTTCGGATTTCTCAATCTCCTCTTCACATCATGAACGGTGTAGTCCCCTCCAGCAGCTCCTGGTACGTAACATCTATGTTCCAAATCATAATATGTTTCTACGTTGTAGCTTAAATGAAACAAGAAATGCTACATTGTTAGGTCGGTGAGCGAGGAGTCGCTAAGAAGGTACGTGAGGTTTGCGAGTGAGAGCTGCATTCAAGAGCTCTTATCTTCCTCTGAGGCCGGACGCTTTGGGAACGCGTCCAATGGGTGGAAGATGGTGAGGCATGACTCAAACGGTGTCGAGATTTCAAAACGTGACTCGGGATCGCTGCACGCGTTTCGAAGCCGTAGGATCCTCACATCAGTCTCTCCAGAGCAGTTCATCACAGTCGCAAATGCTATAGACGCGGCCAAGGTAATCATTTCTTAGTGCTTCCCTACAATATGCAACTATGCATGTCCTCAAACAAAAACAATATATGCTGCTACCAAGAAAGATATTTACTCAATAATATATTTTCACATCCTTTTCGTTAGCTAATTTAAAAGTAGAACTACATGTTTAATTTACATTTATTAATTCACATCTTAATAAAATTTATGGAATATGATACATAAACTAATTTGTTAAAAAAAGGGTGAAAGTTAAGTGTGTATTAGATACTGTTAAAATGATAGTTTTTTTAGTCAAATTAAATAAATTATTTGCTCATTAAAATTTAGAATTATACATCAGATTAGTTGTCAAAAATTAAATTTTATATATATATATAAAGTTTGTAATAGTATTAACACATGGTAGGTTTTTTTTTTTTTTTTGCTTTAATTAAAATTAACACATGGTAGGTTTATTACCTACTTCATTAATAATTGGAGTTTGGTAAAATAATAATAATGATTATTGGAGAAAAATGACAGCAATGGGAAGGCGACCTGGTAGAGGCAACACACATTAGAGAAATAGATGAGAATCTGAGCGTAATCCGTTTAAGGTTTGGCGAAAACTCGAAACCGCTCTTCAGAAACAGAGAGTTTATTGTCTACGAAAGACGTGAGACCATGCAAGACGGCACTCTCGTGGTGGCGGTTGCGTCGCTACCAAAGGAGATGGCAGAAGGATTGGAGCCAACAAAGAAAAAGAAAAACAATTCCATTATTAGAGGATTTTTGGTTGAGTCAGGTTGGGTTTTGGAGAAGCTTGAAGATACCTCTTGCATGATTACTTATGTTGTTCAGGTCTTTTAAACTTTCCTACTTTTTCCTTTTCCTTTTTTTATTTTCTTTCTTTTCGTTAATACATGTTTCTTTTTTGTTACAGTTGGATCCCGCAGGATGGTTACCAAAGTGTTTTGTGAACAGACTAAACACAAAGCTAGTAATGATAATTGATAACCTTAGAAAACTTGTTCAAGCTTCTCTACCCTCTCTTCCTCCTCCTTAGCTCTCGTTTACTCTCCTTTTTGTTTCCTTGTTTTTGTTGTAAACATATTTTTACAAAAAGAGTTAAATGATAGTAATTAAGAGGCCAACTACTCCTCCCTCTTTAGTCTTTTCTACTCTTTAGTCTAAATAAACCTTAATTAGAATGGGGAATATGTCATTTAAAAACATTGAAATTATCATTTTAGGCTTCTAGCTACCACAATTATATTTTTGTTTTATTATGTTGTCTTTCTCACTATTTTTTTTAACTCCTGAAAGGGGAAATTTTAGGAAAGAGCCAATACATTTGGTATTCATGCAAATATTTAAAATATATATAAAAAAAAAATTATGTGAATAACAAGCTTTGGGAGAGAAATCCTATACTATTATTTGGGGAGTACACTTTATAAGATACCCTTAACTAACCTTCCTTTTTGTAAGAATTTACTTAAAAATGTCATTACAAAAATCTTCTTTTAGAACAAATTTCATTCAATTTATTAAGGATAAACAAGTAAAATACTAATTTATGTCATTTAATTAATTTAATTATATTATAAAACGAAAATATGTTATTATTTTTTTTTAAATGACCAATCAAAATGAACATATAAGATTTGATATCTAACTTACCATATTAATTTGTTAATAATCATTAAACTTCCCCTCTCATCTTAATATGATTATATTAATATGAAACAAATAAATCATCATATCATCTACATAATAAAAAAAAAAGTAATTTTTTTTCTGCATATGCCAAGATTTGAATTTTTAAAAATGCATATAAATTGTTCAATCTATAAAAAAAAAATTATACGGGTCAAAAATTCAGACTTGAGTAATATATTTCTTTTACACAAAAATAAAGTCAACAAAAATTCTGATTGAGCAACGAGTCAGAATTTGAATATTTATATTCGATTTCATACATTTATTTTTTTGAAATGTATAATTTTATATACTCCAATAAAAAATTTAAATATTTTAATTTGCAACATTTAAAATAAGTTTTACTTGATATTTTTAGAGAATATCATCAATACTTAATAGTTCAAAAAGTTAAAAATTATAAATACTCTAATTTGATTATTTTTAAAAATATTTATAATAGGTAGCGGGTTAAATATAATATATTATATGATGAAATGAGTTTTGATCCTTATAACTATTTGAATATTTATATTTAATTTCATATACTTTGTTTTTTGAAATTCATAATTTTATAAACTACAAAAAAAAATTAAAGATTTCAATTTGGAATATTTAAAAATAGTGTAGAACATTTAAATATGGTTTGACACCTCTAAATATTTGAAAATTTGATTCCGCAAGCAATTTTAGAATTAACGAATAATAGATTGTGCACGCAATATTTTAAAATAAAATATTGAGATTCTAAAATAAAAATATAGACTCCACGCACGGGTTAATTTTGGTATTATTATATACTAAATATATGTTTATAACATATTCGATTATGCGAATAATTGGTAAATTCCGTAATTATAAATCTCAAACAAATTCTGTAATTAGATTAGCTCAAACAAATCTCTATTTCAACAACCAAAAAATTATAAATTGAAAAATAATTTTCTAAATTAATTCAAAATAATAGCTAATTTTCTTAATTAATTCAAAATAATCTATGTTTTTATATGCGATTCATTTATGATATTTTAATTTTTGATCTAAATGAAATATATGCAATCCTATTTTGTGGTTGTTAACATAAATTAACTCATTGTTCAAAAAATATTACTTTTTAAAAAATAAAATTATTTTCCGTTTTCATATCTAAAAAAACAAAATTATCCATAATTGAGTATTATAGAAAAAATTCTATATTTATTCTAATATTGTATATAGGGACTGACAAAAAAATTAATATTTTTTCACTTACTATTATAATATACTAGGACTCTGGACCCCCGCGATGTCGCGGGGGAAAATATTTAAAAAATCGTTAAAAAAATATCAAACGAAAATTAATAATAACGATAGTAGATGATTAAATGTTATAACGATTTATAAAATAAACTTAAAGTTGCAATTTTTCGTGAAATAAACTAAATGTTGCAATGGTTCAACTAAACGGCTGCAATCATTTTATGAAAAATTACGATAAAAAGATGCAACTGTAAAAAATATTTACTCGGATTGCAACTTTCTCAAAAAACATAACGTAAAATAATTTTTTTAGTTTTAAAAGAAATAAATGAAATGTTGCGATATATCAAAAGTTGTAGCGGTTCGTCAAGTTCGTCAAATAAACTAAAGATTACAATGGTTCGTAAAACAAAACCAAAAATTGCAATGATTGGTCAAATAAACCAAATGTTTCAACGGTTCAATTAAACGATTACAATCTCATTTAAATGCATTTTGGTAATTAAAAATTAAAAATATTAATTTATGAAAATTATACCGAGAGACGCGACGGTAGATAATTAGATGTTATAGCAATTTGTAAAATAAACCAAAGGTTGCAATTGTTCGTGAAATACAAAACAAAATATATAGATCAAAGGTTGCAATCGTTCGTGAAATAAACTAAATATATAAATCAAAGGTTACAATTGTTTGTGATATAAACTAAAGGTTGCAATTGTTCGTGAAATAAACTAAATATTACAATAATTCGAATAAAAGGTTGCAACTGTTTATGAAGAGGTACAATAAAAAGAAGCAACCGCAGAAGATATTCGGATTGCAATTTTCTAAAAAACATACCCGTAAAATATAAATTTTAGTTTAAAAATTAAAAATATATCCATATGTGAACTATGAAATAAACCAATTTTATATGTAGTTTATTGGTTTACGTAAAAAGAAATTCAATAAAACACATGACCGTACAAAAATAACTGTAAGAAAAACAACCATAAATATTTAAATGAAAGGTTGCAATAAAAAGACACAACCGTTCAGATGTACAAATGGTATTTATTGGAAACGACATAACCGTAAAAAATAACCGATTAAAACGAAAATTACGATAAAAAGACGCAACCAAAATAACCGCAAAAAAATAACCGATTTAAACGAAAGGTTGTGATAAAAAGACGCAACCGTTCAGATGTGCAAATGGTATTTATTAGATTGCTATTATATGTAGATTAAAACTTAGTTCTAATATATATATTATATAAATTTTGTAAAAAATAAAATTCAACCCGTACTAAAAGTACGGGTGATGATCTAGTTAGGTAAATAAATAGATTACAACAAGACAAAATAAATATTTCAGAATTACATTCTTAGTCTACACCTCTCTCACCACGCAATTACCTATTTCTATCATACTTTTAACAGGTTAATAGTTCAATCATCACCAAATTAATTTCGCAGTTATATTTCTTTATAAAATATACGTAATTAAAACTAGTGTTTAACTACTACTTTAGTTTCAATGAGAGCATTTTAGTATTTTGAAAAATTTGGATGCATTTCATGCATCAAGAAACTCCAATTATTTTGGATACATCAAGAGTTGCAGCCAATTTCTACATCTTGAGACTCACATGCCTAATTTGAAAAAGCAGAAAGCATAGCATTTAGACGTAGCATTTCGATAAATCAACAGACAAGCCCATAACCAATCAATGTGGTTCGAGATTTGCAGTTGGGAAACTTGCACTATACTCAAAAGAGTTGTTTCCATAAAGATCCCCCGATCCTTTGCTTTCTTCATCATACGTTCTTGAACTCGCAGATGAATCTATGTTAGGGTTTAATCCTGCATGTTGCATTATGTTCTCAATCTCTTTCACAACCTCATTCATTGATGGCCTCTTCACTCCTTCTGGATCCAAACATCTTAGAGCCACATCTACATACTTTTCGAATCCCTTAAGATTCTTGTTGGTTGCGCTGATCGTAGTGTCCAAAAATTCTTGTAGGTCATACAAGTTCTTCGATTTATTCATCTTCATCTTCATCTCTTTCACCACATATTTTCCATTCTCTATCGGTATTTTACCCGTCAATAGCTCAAGCATCATAACCCCAAACCCATACACATCGCTCTTCTCGGTCAATTGATTCGTCATGTAGTACTCAGGATCAAGATAGCCCTAATCCAAAAAATATTAAGAATTTATTTGGGAAAGAGAGAAAAAAAGGATGGTTTATTCTCTACTCACCATAGTTCCCTTCACTTGTGCTGTTACATTAGCTTTCTCAGCATCTTCCACAAGTTGGGATAGGCCAAAATCAGCAACTTTTGCAGTTAGACGTTCATCTAGTAATATATTACTTGATTTGACGTCTCTGTGTATAATTGGAGGATCAGCAAGTTCATGAAGATAAGCCAAGCCCTTCCCTGATCCAAGTGCTATTCTAAGCCTTCTTGTCCAATCAAGTCTAATCCCACTTTTCCCTGCATTTTTTTTCTGGTTCAATACAAAATAAATTCTTTAAAGAAGGGAGAGATTTGATATTACCTGATAGACTATCTCTAAGAGAACCATTTGGAATGTACTCGTATACGAGCATTTGTTCTCCTCGATCAAAGCAAAAGCCTAAGAGTTTGACAACATTCTTATGATGGACTCTTGAAAGAAGCTCGATCTCAGTTTTAAACTCCAACGCTCCTTGCAAAGATCCTGGTTGAGCTCTTTTAATTGCTATGAGTTGCCCATTAGGAAGAATCCCTTTGTATACCTGGCCATAACCTCCACCCCCAACATCATTTGCCACCGAAAAGTTGTTTGCGCATTTCCTCATTTCTTCGAAAGTAAATGCTTTTGTTCCCATTAACTGTGGAGCATCGACACTGTTCTGATTCGCATCCCACTTGGCTGCAACATACAAAAGAGAAGCTGTTAGCATTTTTTCAGTCTTCCCTGGTAGTAAAACGTCTTCTTATAGTTCTTACCGAAAGGATTAATTTGCTCATTCGCTCTCTCTGCTCTTCTCTTTTGCTTAAGAGCATAGATCCCAGCTATCATTAACATTAACAGAAAAACACTAGAACCAACTACAGATCCAATGATGTGTGATGAGTTTGAACCTCCTACATTTGTGGAAAAAAAAAGGCAGAGCAAATAAGTCATACAGAACCAAGTATAGATCTTGTTAGATTGTGTGTATGACCGTTTTTATCATACCTGTAGGGAACTTATCGTACTCATTGGCTTTAAATATGTAAGGGCCAAACAT